ATCCTCACCTTTAGGACAATCATGAAGAGTCAGTCAGGGAAGGTGAATCATTGCAATTGTTCTCAGCTGCTGGGTGCAGGTTTTGTCCATTTGTCAAGATCTTTGTTGCTGCCTGTCTGCAATCAAAGGCTTCAAGTCACTGCTTGCTTTAGTACTGAAGGCAAGCGTTCTTTGGGCCTTGACTTACCTATCCACCAGCACTTTCATAACTCACCCTTGGAGCTGCTGTTTGCCTCCCCACACACTGCAGCAGCATGTGCGTGGCCAGCTCAGTTTCACCCTCACTGGAAACACCACTGCTATCCACACCAAAGCATTGCAAGCACGTAAATATATACACATATACAAACATTTGTAGTTGTGTACATTTTTGGTGGAGTTGATATAATGACAATACCCAAGCACATCAATAAGCAGAACTATGTAAGAAATAGGAGAAAGGCAAACCAGATGTGGCAGGGGAGGGAGGGAAATGGTCTGAAGAAAAAAACAAGTTGCCAACTTCAGCAGAACCTGGCAGCAGCTTCATCTGAGGACATAAATGTTCCTCCTTTTACATGGAATGAGGCAGGAACATTTACTGGAAGTCCAGTCCTGCTTCTCCTGAGCTTCTGTTTCCATACAGAGAAAGGGGCTGTAAGGCTTGGCTCCACAGATGTTGCTTTTCTGAAGGTTAAGCTTATGTGAATAAAATTCATGGCAAAAAAAAATGCTTCCAAGGTTTCCTCATTGGAAACAGCTGTTATAAAGGGAGAGCTGCAGCTGGAGGGCTGTTCTGGGTTCTTTGAACAGGAACTCTGGGCAGGACAGGTACATGTGGCATAATGGCAGCCTTATGCTTTGTGCTTCCCCATGTATGCATACCAGACTAAGGACAGTCAAAAAAGCAAGAATTTTCAGTAAATAGGGCTTTGAAATATGGATTTCAATTCCCGCTGCTGCTGTGGTGCTCTGTCAGACCTTTGGCAAGTTACCTAGCTCCAACCTTTCTGTTTGATCTTCCATGTTCTGGGCCCTGGAGAGAGCTGACAGAATGACTTACTGAGGCCTAGGAGGTGGCACGCTACTCCGAGGTCAATGCTTGCAGCCAATGCCCTTAGCAGGTGTCTCTGAAGCCACATGAAATGCAGTTCCATGAACCACCTGAGCACTTTGGGAGCGATTCTGTCAGCTTTGCTGGGAGAGAGAGCACTAGCACTCTGCACCTAGCAGCCTTGAGCTATTCAGTTCCCTTGAGGCAAAAATACCTACCGGTATCTATAAAGCAACTTTGCAACAGTACCTTGAGTTAAGGCCCCTGCTTCTACCAAATGCATTGATGTGCTGTGTTTGCAGACAGTTAAGGTTTTTCCTCTGGTCTGGAGCTGAAAGTGTCTCTGAGCAGAAGGGTCAGGATGTCTGTCCCTGGCAATCCTGAGCTAAGAGAGCAGGCCTCTGAGGGCCAGTCTCGTTTGTATGGGAGCGTGATTAAAGATGAGCGAGAAATTCTGTTCAAAGGAATGGAAAGCCCTTGTCTGTATTTAAAATCATTAGCAGACTGTTCCTCCCTGTTGTGGTGCAGAGGAGCCAGCGCCCATTAGCTTTGTGCAGCAGCCCTTGTGTGCCTGGGGCTGGAGTCTCCCAGCTGCTCAGGGTGGGCTGTGGCTCCCCTTGGGGCAGGAGGGAGGTTTCAGTGCAGTATCTGCCTGCAAGCTTCATACTGCTTCGATGGGCAAAGCTAAAATTTTGTATACAAGCATTTCTAGACAGAAAGGTTTAAAATTGTTTTCTGCATCCTAAAGGCCAGTACGTTTGAATCTGTACAGTGTCTCTGTTGCCAACTCAAATCTGAAACCCAGAACAAGGTCCTCTGTTGTAGCTTGGCACAGAAAGGAAAGCAGCTGTGAGTTTCTGGTACAATTCTGGATTTGTAAAGAAGGTGCAGTGGAAGGGAGGTGTGTTTGTTTGTTTGTTTTAATAAGATCTAAATATTTGGATTTAGCTGTTTTTCATTCTTCTGACTTCTATGACTCAAAGTCTGTTGGGTGCTGCAACAGCACTGAGAGCTGCATCTGAACTCCACCCTTTGGGAACTTTAATTCTGATCATTGCCTTGGTGATGTAGTGAAAGGAGCCAGCAGCATGTGGAAAGGAACAAGATCAAAAAGTCATAAAAGAAAAATTGTTTATATTTGGGTCTGCTTGCTCTGCCACTGCTTATTCATCTCATACTAACACATGAGGACTTCTCTAAGAAGTCCTTCTGAAGTGTATTCTGGTTTCTACACTAGTGTCTCTGCGTGGAGTTGTATTTATCTTCTTGTACTCTTGTGACTAGTCACTACTGACTCTCCCACAGGCAGCTTGTAGGATCATGACCTTGGTCCTATTTAAAGTTTCAGTGGGAGAAAGCTAACCACAGAGGAGCTGTATGTATAGGTTTTGGCAGAGTCTCAAGCCTAGGTTCTACAGCATGTGCAGAAATCTTTTTCCCATCCTGTTTTTACTTTTTGCAGACTCCAGTAGAAGTATAAATATTTTTCCTTAAATGCTTGCATGAAAAATACCTAAGAAGGTTTACAAGGCAGCAGGCTAGTCCAAAGTAACATCTTAGGGGAAGGGGAGTTTTAGTCAGGTCCCTGTGGTATGGCAATTCAGGGGGAAGATGCTGAGACACCACTTCTGCAGAAGTTCAGTCGGATGGAGGCTTCATCTTTCTCTGCTTATGTTTCATACATCTCTCTTTGCCTGCTTTAGTTCAGCTGTTCTTGCTAAATTTACAGTCAGTAGTTTATTCTGAACTAGGACTCTGCTCTCTTCTTATACTTCATGGCTTGTGTGGGCAAGACTTCAGCTGGGTCCCTTTAAATTTAAGAACAGGATGCGTGTTTTGCCTTGACTAAGTTCAGTTTTTTTTTGTTTTTTTTTTTTTTCTGGTGGTGTGATCTGTTCAGCACATGCACTTATGGATGCTCTAGTGTCCTGAAATAGAGCTAAACAGCCCACTTTGCAAGACTAGGATATATCAGAATTAACTGGCAGCTAGAAATGCCTCAACTATAAGGTTTGTAGTTGCTGTGATGAGGGCAACCAAACTCATTGTTGGCAATGAATAAATAAGACTTTAATGCTAAGAAAGAAGCCAAGGGGATGGCTGGAGGTCAGCCAAAAGGATGCATGTCTGCCTGTCTGAGGTGAGAGCAGCTAATGTAGTACTGCTAGGGAGTGAAATAAAATGAAGAGGTGCCCCTTACAGAGGGAGTTGAGTCCTTCAGGGCTGGTGCTCAGCTGCATGGCTCATTTCACTGCAGCACTCTGATCACTGACATTGGGTCACTTGGCCAGGCCTACTGGAAAGTGGGGTAAGAAGAGGTTCTTGGGAGCAGGAGTGACGAAACAGCCTGGAGAAACGCTTCCCAGGACTTTGGTCTTTATAGGTAGAGAAATGAGAGCTGGGATAAATGAGTTTTTGGAGTGTTTGGGCTTAGCAATGCAAAGACGTGGTAACCTGGCAGGTCCTGGTCGAGGGCCAACCCAAACCCACAGTCCAGTTTGCCTGCTGCTCCCCAGTCTGCAGTGCTCAGCAGAGCTGGAGTGCAGCTCGTTGTTTAGTGCCTATCTCTTGCAGCTGTTCTGCTTCCTTATCTCAGGGAATGCAAATTCAAAAGGGGAGGCTGTCCGGGAGGATGCTGTGAGGAGAGAATCGGAATTTGGATATGCGTGGGGGAAAAGATCCTGGCCTTTGTTTTTTTAAACTGAATGCCTAGTGCCAGGTGGGCAGTCATCTCTGTCCTGTGCTGAAAGGCTGCCTCAGTTTCCTTTGTTCTGCAAATTGCCACAGAGCCCTTCGTGGCACATCTCACACCACACACAAAAAGCCCTTTTGCTTTGCAAATCAGCACGTGCTCCACGGGTGTTTCTAGGCCAGGAAACAATTAACAGCAAGAAAAACCACTTCCTTGGCTTGCAGGCAGCTTCCAGTTTGCTCCTTTCTCCAGATTAGCAAGGATTTAGAAGGCACATGTTCTGTGTTTAAGTCAGTTCTGCAGAAACCACCACGCGCCATTGTCCTGCCCTTATCTCTGAATTGCACGGACAGGCAATCCCGGCTGCTCTGGTTTGCAAGCATGGAAACAGCACCGACACAACAGCTGAGGCGTTGTTTCTGCAGCAAAGCCAAAGGCAGTGTCCATGGAGATGGAAAAGCTTTAGGCCGCTGGTGATGCAGCTGCTGTGTTGGACAGGATCAGCTCCAACAGAGCTGTATGTATGGCCTCATGAGGTTGTGTCCAGCTCTGGGACATAAAATGAGGGTTGAGGGGAACATTTAAACTGACTGAAGTAAGTAAAGAGCTAAAAAGAAAATGGGAATAGAAAGGTGAAGGTGTTGTAAGCCTTAGAGTATCCTCAAATGACAGACGTAATAGAACAGCTTGAGTGCGCCTGGTGTTCTGGTCAGTACTGCCTGGGATGTTCACGGCAATGTTAGTGGCTCCTAAAGATCTTGTTTCAAGTGGGAGAGTCAGATTCATATTCTCAAGTCCTAACTCCTGTTCCAAAACACTGCTTCTGGGATGGATCCAAAATCAATCTGGGTCTCTTTCTATATCAAGACTATAAATTCCCAGGAACTTGAGGAAAGCAGATGATCTTGCAGCTTCTACGTTTCAAACCCTAACTTGTCCTATGATTCCCTTGGTCCCTCTCAATGGCTCAGCACAGATATGTGAAATTAATTTTGAGCTCCTCCTGCAGGGTGTAACAGCCTGTGATCTCCCTTTGCTTACTGCTGGGACAGCAGGCACAACATCTCAAAGTTTCCACACTGGAAATGCCTATTTTTTACTTCAGCTTTGAAGTCTTATCAGCATGCTTTGTGGGTGCTGCAGCATACGTGTAGGAATTGTGTGTAAAACTGCTCAATTAAATTAATCATTTTCACCCAGAATCTTGGTGGTTTTAAACATTACTTGTTCTCTTCTGAGCTAGATGCTAAAAGATATTTGTGTTTTGTTTTTCAGGTGGAGCAGGCGACCGGGAAAAGATGCCCGTCAATCATGAAGCTTTCCTGCTTATGGCTAATTCCCAGAATGAAATGGAAGATTGGGTGAAAGCCATCCGACGGGTTATATGGGCTCCATTTGGTGGAGGTATTGCAAATAGCTCACATGCACATAAATTAAAACATTTGCCTCAAGGTAAAACATATTCTTGTGATACTAGGATATGTGTAACACTGTAAAATCACTGAGATACCTAGATAAGCTCTTGATTATGTGAAGTGTTTTACAGCATGGAGATTGGGTTGGGTTTTTTTTTTGCCTTTTTTTTTTTTTTTTTGCCAGGGGATGGAAGGTAATGAAAGGGGAGGTCACATCCAAACCGTATAACTGACTCACAGTCAAAAGTGGGTGGTAATAACAAACATAACACGATTGCCAGTGCTAAGTTTCTTAAAGCTGATTTTTACTATGTATTCTGTGGATCTTTCTTATCCTTATGGCCGTAAAGGATTTTGTCCGGTTATCTCAACTTTCCACTTCAAGGGCAGATGCCCAAATTAAACCTCTACAAAGCCAGAGGCAGCAAAACTTTTTAATTGGTTAATGTAGGGCCTGGCTGAGAAGGCAAAGCTTCCACTGGCTTCAGTGAAGATGTAACCTAATGAAGAACAACATGGTCAGGCTGAGAGAACACCTGTAAGAGTACAGCTGTTCACAATCCTTGTATTTAAAATGAACAAAAAAAAAAAAAAAAGCAGATTCTCCATTTTTGATACTGTACTATGATCTTCAAGATTTTGAGTCACATTCTTAAGTCAGGGGATTAGATAGGAGATGTTTTTGCAGTCTGACACAGACCAAGGGTTCACAAATGTTTTCTGTTGGGTTCACTGCTGGTAGCAGCAATTCCTGGTTTGGTACTGAATACTCCAAATGCTTCAGTGCTATTGATGGAGTTCATGCAGATGGCGATATCACATGCAGATAGTGATATCGTCCTCTTTTGAGAGGTACAGATAAAAAGTGCTGAACACGTGTTAGGTTATACAATTATTTTGCCAAAATGAAGTTACTGTTTTTCCTGAATCTAGGGGAAAAAAGGGACCTTGGTGCAATTGAGAGAGGCTGAAACATCACAAGGTCACTAAGAACACCCAGTATTTGTTAGTAACTTTTATCCTTTTTTTTTTTTTTTTTTCCTCCTTTAAGTGGCTCTTGTGATTTTGACTGTCTGTGTAGAAGCAGCATTTAGTTTGTCTGGAAAAGATATAATCTCTAGTGATGATGTCATTTTTTCCTAGGCCCTCCTTAGCAGAAAGGGTGTATATACAAAAGGCAGCTTATACCTAATTCTGAGAGGTCCCATGAAATTCTGTTGTGCCGTGGGCAGAACAAGCTCTTTTCATTAGCAGAAACTGATTTACCCTGAATTCTCCTCAAACTTGAGTTTGAGCTTGTTTTGCTTTTCTTCTAAAGTCCAGTCCACAGCAAGGGGTCTTCACACTGAGCTCAGTGCAGATCTCTGCAGTCTGATAATCCGAGTTGGTGTTTCTGTGGCCATTTATAGTGGACCTTATAGCATGTATTTGATAGCATTTCCATGTGCATCAAACAAATGCTGTGAGGAAAAAGGACACAATAAGTCATGGCAGATAGCATACATTCCACAGACTCCTTCTTTAAGGTTTAGGACATGATGTTTTCAGTGCTGCTGGTATCCATGCAAATTCTGCTTCCCCCCCTTTTTTTTTTGGTCAGCATTTGTGTTTTGTCAGCTTCTTGGAACAGTTCCAGAACAAGCATTGTATTTAAAGTATTAAAATAATAAATAATTAGCAATTCTAAGATCTTAAAAACAAAACAAACAAACAAAAAACAACACATGAGAATGGCATAAAAGCAGAGGTTAGTTTATTTTTCTTCTTTGATTCTTTATGGGTACAGTTTTGTCCCAGTTATCTGCTCATTTTCTCTACCTGTATACTTCTCTTCAACAGTAAAGTGTAAAATTTTGATTTCCCTTTAAATGAGGGCAGATACTCTTATACTTGAGTCCAGTGACTGGAGAGCTTTAGCAACTGTATGAAATATCAAAAACTGTAGAACGTTGCAATCATGAGGGTGTGGGGAGCAGGGTGACACAGGCATACAGCAGCAGTTTTGTGCTGTTTTCAAATGCTGCAGGTTTGATACGGTTCCTATTGATGTCAGTGTAAAGGCTTCTGCTGATGTTGGTGAGAGCTGGCTTAAGCTGCCCTGTAGATGAGAAGCACAGCTGGAAAGAACTGCAGCTGTGTGTTGAGGGTTTTTCCTCTACCTGTGAATCAAACCTACCTAAGAACATGTGTACCTCCTGGGCGGTGGGCCTGGCCTAAGCTGTCTGCCCTGCTACTCAAATGCACGAGTCTAAAGCTAGCTTGGCTGTGTCTGCTCTGCTCTGTAGTCAGTGCTGCATGAGCAGATTCTTATCCTATGGTTTCATCACTCCTCTGAGCCGACTATGTGCTAGCTGCTGTCAGCAGTGGTCTTTTCCCACCTTGCAGCCATGTGTTCCCACCACGTTTCATTCTGCTAGTACTGGTGGTTATACAGCTGTGCAGAAGGAAATGACCTGGGAGAAAAAAGGTGGGGGTGAATTAGTTTTGCGGTGGGTTGGCTCCCTTGCCCAGCTAAGCAGGCAGCTACAGGAACAGCAGTTCCAGCACAATGAGGGCAGTGGGGAGAGGTGGTAGGGTGGAGGAGGGCATGCTTGTTCGTTCTGGCTGTAGCCCACACTTAAATTGGCTTAAACAAACTGTGGAACTGCATCCTCAGTCTCTCTTCACAAAGTATTTATAGGAATATCAATAACAAGGAAATGGTTAAAACATCAAAACTGTTGTTTCCAAAAGGATTTAGTCAGTTTGGGGAAGTGATTAAAACTATTCATCCTCTATCAGACTAGAACAGGGCAGCTTCTGAGAGTGAAATCCCAGCTTAGCTCAAATGTGGGAGGACTGTAAACATAGCTGTCTCTGTTTTAATTGAATAATTTGAACTCTGCATTGCTATCACTGCTAATTTGAGAGCCAAGTCTTATCTATCGACACTTTTTAATATATGACGCTAAAGGAATGGGGGTGAGGAATTATAAAGCAGGCTTCATTATTAATATGTAAATATCCAGCCCTGGAGAGGGTTGATACGGTGTAAAAATAAATCATGCCAAGATAAAAGGGGAGTCTTAGCCACACTTTAATCTTCGCTGACGTATTGAAGAAACTTATAAATCAAAAAGGTTGAGGGTATCTTCTTACGTGTTCATGCGGGCATATGAACTGTGTTTAAAGGTGAATAGCAAAGGCTTTTTAAAACAAAACAGAAAACTCTGCAAAGCTGCTGAGGATCCCAAATCATTTATAGGAGACACATTCAGGCCATATGGAATGCATGCTTTGAAATACACTTCAAATGTGGCCTTCAAATAAAATCCTAGAGTTCCTGACTTTTTTGAAGAAGAGCTGTCTTGTTTATGGAGAAAATAATTTTGAGCCAGTTTTCCTAAGTTTCAGACTTCTGAATTCTTGACTCTAGTCCACCTCATTCAGAGTTGAGGATTTTGTAAAATGAGATCTGACAGTAAGCTGTATGTTTGAGTTTGTCTTTAGGAATAGGGTTTGTTACAAAGGCTTGAAAGAAGTGCATTTTTGAGCACATTCGGACAGAGGGTGCTTAAAACTGTTTCCTCTGATCCTTCTTACCTCCACGAGGAACAGATTTTGCTCAGAGTTTACACCACTGAAAGTTTATCTGGACATTCCCTCTGGGCAGCCGTGTTGTTCTCTGGCTGTTTTCTGATGTGGAAGCCTTGTGGCAGCGCCGTACTGTTTCCTGGCCACAAGCTTGGGAGGGAGTGAGCCTGCCAACAGGCTCTGAAATTGGATGTGTGGAAAATACTGAGAGTAGTATGGTGGAGAGAGGGTCTTTCTTCGCTCTGTAAATCTGTAGTGGGGCTGTACCTCTAGCCTGAAAAAAAACAGCTACTTTAAGGAGGTCCTTTGCCATCTATTTACTTCTTAGCTTTCATGCCTTCTTCATTTTTGTCTTGCATTAAGATTTAAATCATAATGTGTCTGGGACTGAATTTTGGGCCATGGGGTACAAAAGCTGAGTTTTTTGGTGCCTGAGCTAAAAGCTGTGAGGTGTAACATTCTCTCCTGTAGCTCAGCACATGACCAGCATGGCATGGGACAGAATCATTTTGTGTTAATCTTGTGCTGTGTTTGTGTTTGTTTCCTTCTGTTTACTTATCCTTTCTTGCCATGAGCAGTTCCTTGCTCCTCTGCCAGAAATGCATGTCACGGCCCCTTTCTCCATTCCTTTATCCTAATTCCTCCTCCTCCTTATCCCAAGCTTTCATCAGTTCCTTGTGATGGAGAAGAGGTAAAGCAGTTGGAAGGGCTGTGCTTCCCTTAGGCAAACAAGGAGAGCTTTACCTGTGACAACGTAATTATTCTGAAGGAGTTCCATGAGCAGTTTCTCTTCTGAGAAGGAATAATTCTGAGAAATAATAACTTTTTAACTGGAGGACTCTGAAGAAGTGTCCACTGGGGACTCTACTGTCATTAATTCCAGTCCACTCCTCCAGATAGGTAAAGCTTGATACGTAATTTCTTTCTTCTTTGCCAGAGAAGTAGTGCAGAGGATGTTCTTGCTGGCAATCAGGGCCCCATGAAGACCATATCTTGTACTAGGGGAGAGCTGAGATCCAGTGGAGGAGGCTCTGAGGTGTAATTTAATGCACATCTCAAAGTCATTACAGGTAATAGAGGGATAGCCCTACATAGGCCTAATTAGGGATCCTGTTTTAAATGAGTAAATGTCTTTCAGATACCATCTGCATGAAAGCAAAATGACTGTTTTGAAGGGTCAGATGTTGTTATTAGATGCATGTCCACAAGGATGCTAGACTCTTTCAGAGCTAGGATATTACCCTAAGTCTTGGGAATGTGGGGTTTAATGTCTCCACCATGGGGATTTTCCAGTAAGACCACCATGAGCATAGAATTATATTAGTGAATTTAAGATGCTAAGATACCAAAGAATTGAAAAGCACAGAGGTGAGTTCTGTTGTTTGCCCAGTGTTAAGACTGAGAACAAGTTTTTGCTCCCTATCTCATTAGAGGGCTCCACCAAAGTGGCAGCCTTGAGATGGA